AATTGACTACACGTATGAGTTTGGTAATGTCTCGTGTATCGCTGTCGGACTCAAGACAAACAAAATTACAAGATGTATATTACACATGATAGTTCCAAATTACCGGCCGTGTACATTGATCTATCAGGTCATCAGTGAAGCGATGCATGAACCTGCATTACATAATTGTGTAATAAGAGTTTTGAATACCTGGTCATGTCACCTCACAATACCTCTGGCAATAATTCCTTTAGCCAAGCTTGATGATCAAATTAGGGAAGGACCGAATTAAATAAATGTATGACATAAAAGTGTTATGAACAAATCAGATTTTGAAAACTTTTTTTACACGGAACACCGCTAGTTAATTATGACTTTAAACTATGAGAGAATCTAAAAAAGTAATCTTAACTATAATTCCCCTATATTTATTTGTTTCATAAACTTAGTAATAAAAAACAGTTTTAAAACGACAGACTATAGTTATTCTAAAAAAAAACATTGTTCTGTATGAAGTTAATTAAATAAAACTAGAGGCTCTAAAGAGACTGTGTCACTCACCTTGGTCTATGTGCATATTAAACAAAGGACACAGATGGATTCATGACAAAATTGTGTTTTGGTAATGGTGATGTGTTTGTAGATCTTACTTTACTGAACATTTTTGCTGCTTACAATTATCTCTATCTATAATGAACTTGGCCCAGTAGTTACAGTGGAAAATATTTTGTAAAAATTTACAAAAACTTTCAAAATTTATGAAAATTGTAAAAAACTAACTATAAAGGGCAATAACTCCTTAAGGGGTCAATTGACAATTTTGGTCATGTTGACTTATTTGTAGATCTTACTTTGCTGTACATTATTGCTGTTTACAGTTTATCTCTTATCTATAATAATATTCAAGATAATAACCAAAAGCTGCAAAATTTTCTTAAAATTACCAATTCAAGGGCAGCAACCCAACAACATGTAGCCTGATTGGTCTGAAAATTTCAGGGCATATAGATCTTGACCTAATGAACAATTTTATCCTGTCAGATTTGCTCTAAATGCTTTGGTTTCAGAGATATGAGCCAAAAACTGCATTTTACCCTATGTACTATTTTTAGCCGTCGGCCATCTTGGTTCGCAGGCGGGGTCATCAGACACATTTTTTAAACTAGATACCCTAATGATGATTGTGGACAAGTTTGGTGAAATTTGTCTTAGAGGTTTCAGAGGAGAAGATTTTTGTAAAAGATTACAAAAATTTACGAAAAATGGATAAAAATTTACTATAAAGGGCAATAACTCCTTTAGGGATCAACTGACCATTTTGGTCAGGTTGACTTATTTGTAGATTAAACTTTGCTGAACATTATTGCTGTTTACAGTTTATCTCTATCTTTAATAATATTCAAGATAATAACCAAAAACGGCAAAATTTCCTTAAAATTACCAATCAGGGGCAGCAACCCAACAACGGGTTGTCAGATTCATCTGAAAATTTCAGGGCAGATAGATCTTGACCTGATAAACAATTTTACCCATGTCAGATTTGCTCTAAATGCTTTGGTTTCAGAGATATAAGCCAAAATCTACATTTTACCCCTATGTTCTATTTTTAGCCATGGTGGCCATCTTGGTTGGTTGGCCGGGCCACCAGACACATTTTTTAAACTAGATACCCAAATGATGATTGTGGCCAAGTTTGGTCAAATTTGGCCCAGTAGTTTCAGAGGAGAAAATTTTTGTAAAAGTTTACGGACGAAGGACGATGGACGCCAAGTAATGAGAAAAGCTCACTTGGCCCTTTGGGCCAGGTGAGCTAAAAAAGGCTTCCCGATAGGTAGAAACCAGGTCTTGTTTAATTCTTTTTTTTTTATCTGTGAAACTGTGTATGCATTTGTCATTATCTTGTCAGGTAAATCAACCTTAAGATTGACAAGAGATTTTGACACTTAATTACGACTACGTTAGTCCCTCATTGTTTGGGTACTTTATGGTTTATAGTTATCACGTTTTTTTTTAACCTGGATGTCGTCAAGATGGCTACATGAAGAGGATTGTTCCGTATGGAGTTAATTAAAAAAAAGAAGGCTTCCTGATAGGTAGAAACCAGGTCTTGTATAATTCTTTTTTTTTTGATCTGTGAAACTGTGTATGCATTTGTCATTATCTTGTCAGGTAAAACAACCGTACGATTGACAAGAGATTTTGACACTTGATTACGACTAAGTTAGTCCCTGACTGTTTGGGTACTTTGTGGTTTATAGTTATCACATGTTTTTTTTTAACTGGGATGCCGTCTTGATGGCTACATGTAAAGAATTGATATTCTCAATTCAAAATCCATGGTGATATCTTATGTAGGAAAATAAAACGTGAATATTTATGAATTTATGCTTTTTTATACATAATGAACATATAATCAATTTTTTATTTTTTGCAGATTATCCCTTTAAAGGTTGCACTTCTGTAATTACAGACAATGCAATTTTCCATAGGAAACTCCTTTTACAGCTAAAACTGTGTCACTATCACTATGAAGTTTCGTAAAAAACTATATACTAGAATGGAAAGTTCATATGCACTACATTTTTTGCAAAGGTCAAAACATAGGGTTAAGTGGCATATTTTCAACATCTATATGCCTTAAACTTCTATGAGTTTAAACTTATACTACTAAAATTTTGTACTACTCCTCCCTTTACTTTGGGTCTTCCTGAGAATTCAATTTAACTGCTATCCAACTGTATTAATACTGGTAAAATTCCCAAGTTGTCTCTCTATGAGATGAATGAAACATGGAGATCATATCCTGGAACCAGTAGGTAAATAAAACAAAACATCTTTGAATATCAAATATCTCCCCAAAAGAGGCATGGTTTGTAAATAAGCTGTATTTACAAAAAAGTAAAGTAACAAAAATACCAAACTCTAAGGAAAATTCAAATCGGAAATTCCCTTTTCAAATGGCAAAATCAAAAGCTCAAACACATCAAACGAAAGGAAAACAACTGCCATATTCCGCACTTGGTACAGGCATTTCCTTATGTGGAAAATGCAACTTTTAGGAATTTAAAGGCGGTTTTCAAGGAAAATAGATTTTTTTTACTGCAAATGCTGCACAAATTTGAAGCAACAAGATACTTGCATGTACAAACAAAAAAGCGTGATAATATTGAAAGAAAAAAATGTCATTAAGATGAAGACAGAGAATAGAGAGAGTATTAATAGTTAAAAACAGGGGTCCTTTTACCTTGAAAAAATTGTATTTTACTGTCCATTAAAAAGTGTCATTGTGTCAAAAAATTTATTTTTATTTCAGAGAAGACAACTTCTATATTAATTAAGACAAAAATGGCAAACTGTAGACTATTATCCCATTCCTTCTATTAAGGTAAATTTAATCTCTTACAAAATTTATTTAGAGGAGGGGGTTGATATACTCAGGTCTAGGAGTAAACCAAAAGCTGAATTATCTGGGGTGCAGTAATTACCTTACTTAATTTATTAAAACAATATTTTTTAATGCTTTGATACAATTTATTCTTAACCCAATATGAGTTTCAGCGTGCAGCCAAGTAGAACAGTGCAGATACTGAAACAGACACTAATATTAAAGAAAAAAAAGTTGCTTTGCATGCCTTTAAAAACAGTAGATAATTCATGATTTCTGTTTGAAACAAATGTCAAACAGAGAAGGAAAATGTTAATCACCATGTAAATCAGTTATTATTAGTCCCTAGAAAGGGGGGCATATTGCATTCACCTTGTCTGTCCATTTGTCTAACAAAATGTCCTTTGCAATTTTTAGTTTATGTTGAAATGTTGCTGTATAGCTACAGTACAAACAACATCCCTTTATCAACATTCTCATATATTTGTCGTATGTTGTCAAGCAAATGCTGAATAATTGCATTGTTTTGAGTTTGTATGATTTGTTGTCCAGACTCCTTTGTATTTTCCAAGTACAAATCCATCTTAAAGTATAATATATAACCATTGGCTTCATTGGTTCATCTTTTTTGTATTGACTTATTGTTCATCCACTTAATGCATTGGTATCATTCCAAAATCCTTTGGCTTTTCACTTGGCCAATGATATTGTTAAACTCATGATATCATGTTACAGACTTGCCACTATATAGCCTTTTTTTGTTGAAGTGGCGTAAAGCAAACACCAATCAATCAATCATGTAATGGTCTACTAGTACAAGGTTTTTTAATGTTTGCATCAGTCTCTTAAGGTTGACTTGTCTCTGTCGAGTACTCTAGTATACTAAATAGGCAAATTACCACGTGGCATTATATTGGCCTACAAAAAAGTTGTAGTAAAAGAGAGGTGAAAGATACCAAAAAGACATTCAAACTCATAAGTTGAAAATAAACTGACAATGCCATGGCTAAAAAAGAAAAAGAAATATCGTATCAACTGGGAGATATATACTCCGTTTGCAGGCACTACTGGAATGCTGCTACATAGAAATAGAAATTTCACAATTGGAAAGCTGAATTCGTCATAAAGTTTTGTTCTCAAACGACCCTCATCGTCAATTTCTAGATGTTAGTCAAGATATGAGGCACACTTAACTGTATCTTTTGTATCCTTTATCTAAAGTTAGATGGGATAGATGCATTCAACATAGTCACCAAATTTTGAATTATTTAGTGAGAGAACATCATCTAAATAGCGGAAAATGAAGTTAAAGGATACTGCTAACTTCTTTTCTTTCTTCCTGAGAAGAAAATGAATCAATCCAGTATTCTTGTCCTTTTATTCAGGTATAAATAGACCCTGCCATTATATACAATTCTAAAGAAAATAAGACAGAACAGAGCAACTATTGACAACGTGGAGCTTCCAGGTGGCTTTGCCCCCTTGTAATCCTCCCATAGCGCTCTCCTTGAATTGCCAGTGGACCCCAGACTCCCTATCATCCTAGTTTGCATGCAGTGATGTAGAACCTAGCTAGGCTGCTGTTAAAGCTCTGTTATGTAAGAACATACATATTATTGATAAATTATAAAATAACCTTGTTAGAAAGATCAACATCCATGCTGGCAGTTCCATCATTTATCTTGACAGGTAAACACCATCTTTTGAAATCAGCACATTCAAGTTTTCCAATTAATGTTGATATATAAGCCTGTGAATATGTAATATAAAGAAGCATGTCAAGTATTAAACAAATTTGTAAAAGCAGAAAATAGTGTGATTACATATAAATTTTAGAGCAGACAGTTCTTTTTCAATATAAATTTTTTATCAGTTGTTATCGGCTTTGAACTAGCTGTGAGTAACTGCGAGTACTCTCAGATCTGTATTTAGTGTCTTTTTTGTTGTTAGGGATGAGGGATGGATAATTACCCTGCCAAGTCCAGTCTGTTTTTGTTTTATGTTTTTCTGCTTTGTGTCGATCTGATGAGTTAAGCCTTTTTCAACTGATTTTTATAGTTTGTTCTTATGTTGTGCTGTTAAACCACTGTCCCAGGTTGGGGAGGGTTGATCGCTCACAAACATGTTTAACCCCGCCACATTCTTTATGAGCCTGTAGTTCAGTGGTTGTTGGTTCATGTCTGTCATATTTGTTTTTCATAAATTGTTTTGTTATAAATTAGGCCGTTAGTTTTTACTATTGAATTGTTTCATATTTTTCATGTCAGGGCCTTTTATAGCAGACTATACGGTATGGGTTTTTCTCATTGTTGAAGGCCGTACAGTTGCCTATATTTGCTTACATCCACTTCATTTGAACTTTGGTGGATAGTTGTCTCATTGGCAATCATACCACATCTACTTATTTTTATATACATATCGATTTTAATTTGTACATGACACTTCTGGAATTACCTTCATCAGGTACTGGTTTTTGGTTTTTTTTCCCCCCATGTTTGTTTATTTTCAAGGCGTAGGTGTTGCCTTTAAATTTGTGGGCATTAAAATATTTTGGTAGTTAAAAAAATGTCAACATATATAAATAACTGTCTTTTTTGTATGAAGTGAATATAAGCTTCAATTTAAGTTTTCATAAAGATGATGACAAGGTAGGTGCTAGACATGGTCAACATTTTCTAAGCTTAAACTCAATGGACTAGAGCATCCTACTCACATCTGTATATTAGGATTTAACAATACACTACATTTTGCCTAGATATGATTAAACATGAGTCGCTATGACAAGGTCAGTGCACGACAGGTCAAAATTTCTAAGTTGAAAGGGCATAACTATAATCAAAGTGCTTGTAAGCACTGAAGGTTAACGATTGCTTTAATTTATCCGTGGGAAGTAATATTAAAAAGTGCATTGTATAAAGCTTTGGTTGAAGTTTATTCAACTAAAATTATGAACAAAGAAAGATAACTCCAATTCTAAAGATTACTTTACAATGACATAATTGATATTTTTAGAACAGATCTTAGATTACTGTACCTTGCACAAGTTATGTAATTTTCTTGACAAGTATAACATCATTTTGTAACTTGAATATCTGATCATATATTTCATTGATACATTTCTGGAAATGTTCATGGATAGGATGTTCAAAATGTTATGATCAATGCACTATATTTTGTGTATCTCAAAATTTAAGTGATAAACCTTGGAAGATTTAGATATCAAGTCAGGGTTTTGATTGCATTTCATGCTTTACCCCCAAAAAACTCAAAGTACAGGTACATTCTACCCACATGCACATGTAAGTATCTAACAATGTTCTAAGTTTCATTTAGATATGATAAACCATGAAGAGGGAGTTGTGGTGACAAGGTTAACAATTCTACGATGAAAGGTGTATAATTCTAGATAAACTGTCGGTAAACAGAATAACAAATCCTTCACATGATGATGTTTGAATATAGTGATCAATTATTCTACAAAGTTTGAAGTGAATTAAACAAAGGATAAAAATGTTGGTCTGGACAGACTGACAGACAAATTAATTCTTATTTTTACCCTGCCATCTCAACCTTTGTGTGTTAACTTCAAGGGGTATATTAACCTAAAAACATCCAAGAAAGCACTATAGTTTCAAACAATGACTGTTGTTTTACATGTTATGCCCTAATGAAATAATTTTTCAAAACAATATTTCAAAATCATTTGTTCATAGACACCAGAAATTACAGAACTTTTACAATTATTGTGTGTCAAATCAAACACTAATTAATTTTTTTTACAAAGCATCTAAATGGAAAGGGAACTAATTATTTCTCATTTTAAAAATCATGTAAAATATGTGTCAGATTCATTCCAAACAAATGAACTATTAAAGTTTAAACACTCATGATATTTTGAAGTGCCGATTGATTGATTGACTGATTGGTGTTTGGCACCCCTTTCAGCACTATTGTGCTATTTCATGGTGGTCAGTTTTTATTGGTGGAGGAAGCTTGAAGAGCAGAAGGCCAAAGAATAAGGATCTATAAACTATGGTGTTATTCACTGTTTGCAAAGAATTGAGTTTCAAAGAATTTTATCTGTGAAAATAGGGCTTTTTCACTTTCAGTAGAAATAATCAAAAAAGGTTTTTTGGGGTTTGCTAAATTGTGTAAAATATAATTTCAGATGGTACCCCTAAAATAAAATCACATATGTGAACAAGTCTTTACTTTACAAAAAGTCGTCATACATATCCAAGTTTATATACAATAACGTTACCATTGCTACCTACCTGAAATGAATTGTGCATATTGACATATCTGCTCATTGTTGAAAGTGTAACACCACTAACTCAGGCCTGGTCAAAATGAACATACCGGAAGGTAGTACATACTTTTTTTAAATAGTTCCTAGGCATAGGTGTGTCTTTCAAAATATGAAGAAATTTGGTAATTTTGGTATCAAATGAAAGCTAAAAGACTGGTGATCATTGTAGAACACATTTTGACTGATTATTTTGAATTATAAATTTTCCCTGTTTCACAGATCTGAAGAACCTGTTTTGGTACTTCCTAATTTTCCAGGAACCAGCATGCTCTTATATGTAATTAAACGCATGTTGATCTTTTCAGCACAATACATGCTAAGGTAGTGCTTTGAAATGAAATGGCTGTCACTTTATTCGAACTTACGATAAAAGAGTTATGAATGCTTAAAATTGGAGGATCTTACATTGAAAGCCATGAGACCTAGAATTAGTGGTGTGCCTCCACACACTGTGTGTCCCAATCCAAATTCTGCAGAGGGATCTGAATCCCAAGGAGCAATTAATGTAAAGTTTGTATCAGTGGGGAAGTAAAATCTGGGTCCGATTCCCTCAAAGTAAATATGCTCTGTGGGAATCAGATCAAGATTTTACTTACCCACCGGTACAAACTTTTCATTAACTGCTCCTCAGGATTTGGATCCCTTCAAAGTTTTGGACCGTGAAACCGATGTGCTTCAAAAGGCCGTACGGTGACCTATAGTTACTAACTTCTACGTCATTTGGTCTCTGGTGGAAAGTTGTCTTATTGGCAATTATACCACATTTCCTTCAAATTTTCTATATTTCAGAACTGCCACTGAAAACATTATTTTTATTATCAACAATTTTTCTAAACCTTGAAATAATTTTCAGTTTCTACAACCTATATTCCTACATACAATTTTCACTTGATATTAACTTTAAATTTATTTTGAAATGAAACTACATACATGACATATGCATTATTATAAATTATGATCTTACCTTGACCTTAAAACTGATAAGTTGCTGTGTTTGTAAATATTTCTTGACAACACTCAAATACGTCCATGGATCATAGTTCAAATTAACTGTAAAAAAAAATCTCAATACAAATGGCCAAAATTGGAGAACAGAAAGTATTAACAACATAACATTCTATCAAGTTATTTTTATTTATATATAATGTGGATTAGCTCTTCCTTTTTAGAGAGGTTGATAATGTCTGTTTATAAATGATCATTTCTGGTATTTGTAAAACATCTAGACAGAACACACCAAAGGGACGACAAAAAAGATGAAGAAAACTGACATTATCATGGGAAAAAATTAAAAAAAAACAATGAAAAACAAACAACAGTTCAAAAACTCCCCATAAAAAACTTAAGACTGAGCAACAATAGCCCTATAAACAACAGGTAGTAATCTCAGATGCACCCAGAAAGGCAAGCAGATCCTGCTCCACATATGGCACCATTTGTATTACTCATGGCAAGTATGGATTCAGTATAAAGTCTCATTTGGCTATGGAACAATCAAGAAAAAAAGGACTTAATATATATCCATGGTCACCTGTGACACATAACCGTCAACCAATCGTGACATCAGTAAAAATTATGAAAGGGATGACTTCAACCTCTACCACTTGGTTTAATAATTTTCTTGTAAGCAACAACCCTTTATCAAGGCAATCATGTAAAGATGCTAACCAGTTTGCCTCTACAATACAGTAGAGGGATAGGGTATTTTTTAAATCATTATCATTCAGAAAACACATTACAATTCTGTTGCTGTTTTCAATTTTTGATGAAACTGAACAATACATTTCATTGTTACCTCCAAGTAATTATTTTTAACTAGATTTATAACATTAAATGGGCATCAGCAATGATTCAGACAAAAAATTAAAACATTTTGTTTTTGTTTCAAACAGTTATAAAAGTTGAATTTTGAAATTATATTTGGCTAAAAGCAATCAAATTTGGTTTAATTTTGTCAAAATAATCTGAAAAATATTGCTAATATATCATTGGCATGCAAGTCAATAATTCAACCTCATTTGAATCTACATTCAAGCCACCTTCAATTTAACCTTTAGCATGTTTAGCCATGTTAGCTGGAGAAGGGTTACGCATGTGCTAATAATGTTTAGCTATAAGAGAAGAATGTCAACATTGAGAAGTAAAACAAGGGAGCCACGGAGAAGAACTATTTTTAGGAACTGTAAAGACAACTTCTAACCAAGGAATGACTGTAATATTTTTTCCGTCTATGAAGAAATAACATCAAAAATGTGGTGCACACTGAATAACCAGCAAAGCGTGTCATTTAAAAGTGTGCACCACATTTTTGAGGTTATTTCGAATAGACAGAAAAAATATTACAGTCATTCCTTATAATTTAATTCTAAATTCCATTTTTAAGGAGTAAATCATGAAAAAACCTTGATGATGTCACAGTCAGATAACAAAATTATGTCTATGAGCTGATAGACAAAAAACTTTCAGCCAATCAGATGATATGTTACATCCAAAATTAGATTATTTTATTAATAATTGAATTATTTCAACTGTTTTTATATCTTGGCACATTATAAATCCAACTATCTGTTACAGGATTTGCTCCTTGTTGAAGGTAGTAGAGTGACCTGTAATGTTCACAACACTGTTGTTTGGTCTTTCGTAGATAGTCGTCTCATTGACAAATAAACATAATACCACAATTACTAATTCTAAATCAAACTATTATAACTAAACTTTTTTAGATGGATTTGGCCATTTTTTAAAGGCCCTTTTTGGTCATTTACATGTAGCTCTTCCAACTTTTTCATTTCTTATACATACTTGGCTTTCAAATATTCGGCTTTGAGTGTTCCTGATGAAGGTAAATCCAAAAAATCACTTCTGACACATTAAATTAATAATGTGTTGTTTTCATTTTTTTATGTAGTCTGAATTGCTTACTTTGCAAAAATATGTCACTTTGGTATTTACTTTAAAATATTCATCTATTCTAACATTGTCTAATGCATTACTTTGTGAATCTATTGCCGTGTGTTGAGGGACTATAAATAAAACAAAAGGAGACCCAAAGGGGACAATCAAATAAGGACAGACAAAAAGTTGATTGGCAATGATTATTGAACTGGTCCAAGACCTTGCTGATATAAAAGTGACATAATTATTTTAAATTTGGCAGGAATTGTACATGTTGGAGCACTAACAAGACCAGATTGTTGGAGCCACATACATTCTAGGGGGCATAACTCTTTTCAAAATAGTTTATGGGCACCAATTTTCAAATAATTCAGAGACCTTGCTGGTATAAACCTTTTGATATCAATTTCATAAAAATCTGTCGAAAAAGAAAGGTGCACATCTTCCTGCTGTGTGCAATGACTGAGTAAAGTTTGATTAACTGTGCAATCACAGATGGCACAAACTAGGTACCATCTGTTTCAAGATAGTTTGTAATAGGACCATATAAATTTGCAACATTACTACCAACATTACTAAACATGATGTACATGTGCAGGTTAAGTGGAATTTTCACTGCTGTTACAGAGATAAATAAACTCTAACAGTTGGTAGTAATATTGCATATTGATAAGGACATACTCCAAAGAGAACTCAAGTTATCATCTGGCAAGACTATTTGTTACAGTTATCTAAACAACTCAATAAATTGTATCACAAATTAATACATGACTGACTTGACAAGTTACCTTCCTGTGATAAAGGTCTTTCCCTGTTGTTTTCAAGTGAGGAAGCTACTTCCATGTTCATATCAATATTTACATCAGATGTACCACTGACAATTGCATCTTCTAATTTAATGTTCAGGTCAGGGTTTTGATGTGATCCTTTCCACTGATCTGATTCTGATAAATCAGGTTTTATATACGCCCCTACATCTGAATTTGACATATATGACCTCCTTTTGCAATTTTGGTTTTCTACCGGTGATATCAACTGCCTCTTCTTTGTGATACCAACTTGTAATTTTTCCTTTGTACTTAAATCAGTATCTAATTTGGTCCTTGAATTAGAGAAATCTGACATGTCGAAGTCATCATCAAAGTCTTCATCCACAAAGGTCATGTTGTTTACATCCTCATATTTATCTGAAGTTATTTGTCTGAGTGAACTCTGTTGTACACTTTTGTCTTGATGAGGAAATTGATTTTTTATATTTGAATCTAAACATGTAATATTATTACGATTGACATTTGATACTTTAGTGAATTTTCCTGGACAAGTGTTCACACAACTGCTATGCTGAGATTGAGAAGGTAAGGTTGTAGCTGAGGAATTATTAAAATTCAAAGATAAGGTGTCTGTAAAAACATCCATGTCATCATCTAAAAAAACACTAAGTGGCAAGTCTTCATCAAACTGAAATATATATACCAGCATATATAAACATTCTGAAATTACAATTGTATTATTTTCTTGTATTATATATTACAAAGACTGTCAGTGACCTAATATGGTATATTCACAGTCAGTAAATTTCATACAGATTGAGAGCGTTTCTGTCAATAATGGTAAATGTCAAGATAAAGTAATTCTGAACCAGATCTGCTGAAAAAATTCCTTTGATTAAGAAAGAAAAAAATAAATGGGGAATGTGTCCATGGGACACAGATGATGCCCCCGCTTGCATTTCATATAAAGTTATAAATGGACATAACTGAAGAACTGTAAAAGTGACACTACCCAAATTTGTACTTGATCTGAGTTTTGTGGTAATAAGTATTGTGTATAACATTTGGTTGAGGAAAACTTAAGTTAGAGAACGGAACCGAAAAATTCAACATTTTTTTCCATTTGTACAGGGCCACAACTCTAGAACAGTAAAAGTGACACCACCAAAATTCAAACTTGATCTGTATTTTGTGGTTATAAGCATTGTGCATAAGTTTCATAACATTTGGTTGAGGCAAACTTAAGTTAGAGAACGAAAACGAAAAATTCAGCAATTTTTCCATTTATAAAACAGGCATAACTCTAGAACAGTTAAAGTGACACCACCAAAATTCAAATTTGATCTGTATTTTTTGGATATAAGCATTGTGTATAAGTTTCATAACATTTGGTTATGGCAAACTAAAGTTAGAGGACGGAAACGAAATATACAGCAATTTTTCCATTTTTAAAGGGGCATAACTCTAGAAAGGTTAAAGTGACACCACCAAAATTCAAACTTGATCTGTGTTTTGTGGTAATAAGCATTGTGTATAAGTTTCATAACATTTGGTTGAGGGAAACTAAAGTTAAGAGAATGGAAACCAACCTTGGGACATACGGACGAATGTACAGACGGACAAGGGTAAAACTTAATGCCCCCTCCACTACAGCGGGGGCATAAAAATTCAAGGTTTTGTTGATCTTTTTTGGTGTTACAGTACTGGACCCTAATACATATAAATAAGAAGATGTGGTATGAGTGCCAAAAAGACAACTCTCCTATCAAGTCACAATGTGTTAAAAGTAAACAATTACATGTCAAAGTACGGCCTTCAATACAGATCATTGGCTCACACCGAACAGCAAAGCCATAAAGGGCCCAAAAATGACTAGTGTAAAACAATTCAAACAGGAAAACCTACGGTCTAATCTTTATCAAAAATGAGAAACACTTATGAACCACATCAACCACTGAACAACAGGCTCCTGACTTAGGACAGGTGCATACAAATGCAGAGGGTTTAAACGTTTTAACAGGCGCAAAACTTCACCCTAACCTGAAACAGTAGTGTAACATTACAACATAAAAAGACACACTATAAAATATCAATTGAAATGGCTTAACTCAACCAAAAAGACATAAACTAAAAATAAACAAAAACAGGAAAACATACACTGAATGAATAAGTTTGATCTATGACACAATTTAAATACAATATTAATAAAAAAGTTGCAGAACAATGTCAAAAAGAAAACTCTAACCTGGGACAAAATGGTGTTAATTAAAATAATGCACACTTTTACAGTTATAAAAGGGACACAAAAAAGTAATTATTGTAAAATCAAGCTCTAATAAAATACCTTGTCATTAAACAGTTACTAACAATGGTTAATTGGCAGCTGTAATTTACCAGCACATCTGACAGGTAAAAAAGTATCAGACATCAATCAGTCTTTTTGAATTTGTCTTTTGTATTTTACTGCTTTGTACCTAACTTATTTAAGCATTAATTGATTTAGTCTGTCAAAATAAAATAAAAAGTACTGATAATCAAATTTGACAGAACCAACATTGTGTGCATATGAGTGTGTGTGTGTGTGTGTGTGTGTGTGTGTGTGTGTGTGTGCACAGGTGTGAAACTTAAATAAGCATCAAAGGTTGCATAACTTATTGTATGTTTCTCTCAAGTATTCATTTGATGAAACATTGAAAAACAAGAATGTGTCCATATTACACGGATGCCCCACTCGCACTATCATTTTCTATGTACAGTGGACCGTGAAATTGGAGTCAAAACTCTAATTTGGCATTAAAATTAGAAAGATCATATCATAGGGAACATCTGACTAAGTTTCCAGTTGATTGGACTTCAACACCATCAAAAACTACCTTGTTGACCAAAAACTTTAACCTTGAAGCGGGACAGACGGATGAACGGACGAACGGATGCACAGACCAAAAAAACATAATGACCCTCTACTATCTGAGGTGGGGCATAAAAATTCCGTCTGCCTCTAATTTTTTTCAAGCCCTGTTGCAAATGCTGGAACTTTCTATCCTTTTTTTCTTATAGGGCAACAACAGTAATTAAGGGGAATTTTGTAAGTAGACCAAGTCTATGAAAATCACTCCTATCAAGGAAAGGCACAAAAAAGACATTGTAGTTTTAAATTATATTCTTGTTGTATTTACTGAATAAACTAGATACTTCAACAAGCTTAATTGCTCAGCAGACACCTGGCATTTTTTGTAAAATAATGATACCATGTAATAAGTGGGTAACAGTCATCATCATTAAAGGAAACATACTTCTATAAACAGTAAACTTTTGAAACAGACCATGTTTATACTTATTTGATTGTCTTTAATAGTTTATTGCTAATTTTCATTGTTTACACTTTCTCTTTCTCTACTTAAGCTAGCACCCAAAACGCAAAAATAGGGTAAAACTCATGTTGAAGGTCAATACTCCTTTAAGGAGACAACCAATGATTTTGTCTGTTTGTTCATTGATGCCATTTTAAGTTTCTCTCTATCTAAAGTATTTTTCCAGATTATAGTCATAAATGCAAAAAAAAGGTCAAAATTGTCATTGAAGGGCATTCTGACTAATCATTTGGGCAATGTTGACTTAATTGTAGATCTTTTCTTCCTGATAGTTTTTGCAAATAAAAACACTAAAAATTGGCCATGTTGACCAATTTGTAGAACTTGTTTTACTGATCATTCTTTCTGTTTACAGTTTTACTCTATGTATCTGCCAAAAATGGGTAAAAATGATTTCGGTCATAATAAATCATCTGTAGTTCAGCATTATAAATTGATCCTTTTTACTGTGACTTTCTCCCTTTCTACTATCGTTTTCACCAAAAACGCAAATCTTTTTACAGGGTTCTATGCAACTGCAATTGCTGCTGTCGGTGTAAAAGTGTAATGTTAACTGCCAAGCCCAAGTAAATACTCACAAATAAAAAAAGAAGAATGCATTCTCTGAAATGTCTTGACTGCATTACTTATCATGATTGAACTTAGGTTGACAGTCTGTAGTGTGAATGTCTTAATACATGTATCACATAAACATAACATTATCAATGATCCATGTAAATGAGGTCAAGGTCAGAGGATCCCTGCCAGACAGACATATTCACCTTACAATCATACCATACATCAAATATAAATTGCCTATTGCTTATAGCATCTGAGAAACAGACCTTATTGCAAAAACTGACCAATGAACCATAATAAGAAGCTCCTAAGAGCTTGAATTGGTCACCTTGATTTTTTGTGCAATCTTGCCTAATTGATTATCTTGTGCAGATCTTGCCTATTGATTATTTTGCTGTATAATGTAATATTAATGCATGTTTAAACATGCCTTTGAAAGATTCTCTTTATCTATCATAATTTCTGCAAGAAACAAAAAAAAAATGGTAAACATCATCTTTCAAGGGAAATAACTGCTTAAAGGGATTAATTGCCAATTTCTGGTCACTGACTTATTTGTAGCTCTTACTTTGCTGAACATTTTTGCTGTTTTAAGTTTCTTGCTATCTATCATAGTTTTTGAAAAAAAAACTTAAAAATTTAATAAAAATAGTCTTTCAAGGGCAATGACTCCCATAAGGGATCAATTGATAATTTCGTTCTGAAACATTTTGGTAGATCTTACTTTGCTGAACATTTAAGCTGTCAAAATTTCTCTTTATCTATAATAGTTTTCAAGATAACAATCAAAAACTGTGAAATTTCATAAAAATTATCATTTCAGGGGCAACAAGAAATGATTGTAACAGGATGCTGTTACAAAGTCTCCCAAACAAATCCCCTAAGGACTCTCCCTATTGAATTAATTGATTGATTGATTGATTGGTGATTGCTTTACGCCGCATCAGCACAAGAAGGCTATATTGCGGTGAGAGCTATTTCAGATATAAAATATAAGACTTTTTTTTTCTAAATAAAGATGTTTTTAGTTCATCCAATATAAAGGGTTTATTGTAATTTTCTCCATTTTTCGATTTAAAGTTCAATTTCCTTTTTTCTTTTTCTTTTTTAAATTTGAAAAAAAGTTCAAGGTCAAAAGTCAGAAGGCCATATGTTCCAATGGTCATTACTAGAGACCCCATGTGTATATAGCTAACTGTTCTCAAGTTAAAATCATTTGAAAATATTTTTTTTTTTAATCCAATAGGGTTCTATAGCGTACCCCTCCTTTCTTTTTGCCCCTCAAAGTATCCCTTTATAAACCCCATTGCACAAACAAAACCCTGACTGCACCACTAGACATGTTAGTACAACATATTGTGGAACCCTAAGTTAATCTGACAAGCGGTTTTGGAGAACAGGTGCAGACAAGTTCAAATTTAAAGGCGGCGGAAGAAGAAGAAGAAGTCTTCAAAGTTTGGGAGACTTAATGACTCCAAATTTAGTTGTCCTATTCGTCTGAAAATTTGCCTCTCACATAGATCTTGACCTGCTGATAACTTTTAATCATGTCAGTTTTGCTCTTACTGTTAATAGTATTTGAGATATAAAACAATAAAGAGCAGCGCAATGAGCGCATGATACGCCCGTCGCTTTTTCAAAGAATAAAGTTCCATAACTCCTCAATGTCATATCAGAAATTTATAAAAAAACTATAGGGAGGTTCTTTTAACAGATATAAAACTGTCACCAAAGTTTCATGAAAACTGTTCAAAGCACTTTTAAGTTATTGTCTGAAAAGTGGAAAATCCCCCCTTTTTTATGAATAAAATCCTATAACTGGTAAATGTAAAATCTGAAATTTATAAAAAACGAAAGGGAGCTTACGTCAATAGATATAATCAATTCACCAAAGTTTCACGAAAACTGCTCAAAGCATTTTTGAGTTATTGTCCGATAACTAGAAAATCCCCCTTTATTAATGAATAAAACCCCATAACTTGGAAACGTAAAATCTAAAATTTATAAAAATCGATAGGGTGCTCACGTCAATAGATATAAAGAATTCATCAAGTTTCATGCAAATTGGGTAAAGCGTTTTTGAGTTATTGTCCGACATGTTGACAACGGAAGGACAACAGTATATACCATAATAGTCCTGTAAACGGGCTTATAAAAACAGCAATTTACCCCTATGTTTTATTTTTAGCCATGGCTATGACTGACTGGAATAAAAAACACAAACTTTATACTAGATATTACTAGGATCATTCACCTAAAGTTTGGTTGAAATTGGTTTTATACTTTCAGAAGAAAATATCTTTAATTTTTATGACGACAGACAATGGACACCAAGTGATAGCAATAGCTCACTTGGCCCAAAGGTCAGATGAACCCTGCCAGACAGACTTGTACAACTTCCAATCAATCCAGACATTAAATATATTTGACCTATTGCTTTTAGTATCTGATAAACTGACAAAACCATGAAAACTTAAAATTGACCAATGAACCATAAAAATGAGATAAAGATCATATAAAACCTGCCAGACAGACATGTACACCTTACATTCATTCCATATATCAAATATAGTGGTCCTATTGCTTATAGTATCTAAGAAATAGACTAAACCACAAAAACTTAACATTGTCCAAAGAACAATGAAAAAAGGTCAATGTCAGATGAAACCTGCCAGACAGATATGTACACCTTACAATCATATCATACACAAAATACAGCTGATCTATTGCTTATAGTATCTGAGAGTTACTGAGAAACAGACCAAACCACAAAAACTTTACATTGACCAATGAACTATGAAAATGAGGTCAAGGTCAGATGAAACCTGCCAGTCGGACATGTACACCTTACAAAATTCTAAATTCAAAGGTACAGAAGTTATGAGCTGGATATGAAAGGGACGGACGGACAGACAGATGGACAGACATGGTGATTCCTATATACCCCCAATTTTTGCTTGCAGGAGGTATAAAAAAATTTCATAGTCAATTAAATAGTAAAATTATGAAAAATAAACTGTTACACAGAGATGTGTCTCACCTTTTTGTTACTTTGATAGTATAATGGAAATGTCGAAATTAAGATAGCAATACTTAAACATGTAAGTTATGCAAAATATTCAAAGTCCATGAACCATGACTGAAGGTACAGGGCCAAACAATTTCCATGAAAATGAGATGTGCCTATGCTAATACAAATGCATACCAAATATCATGGACCTACCACTTGTGTTCCCCATAATCTGACCTTATAACAAACTAATATATGTAAACTAAGCAAAAGTTTCTAAGTCAAAAGGCCATGACTGAGGGAGTGAAGACCAAATAATCTCCATGGAAATGAGATGTGCCAATGCTAATACAACTGCATACCAAATATCATTGACCTATCACTAGTGGTTCCCCATAAACTGACCTAATCACAAACTAATACATTGTTGACCACGACGCTGCCTCACAAGAAACAGCATACATATGTCTTGCTTTTTGACTCCATCAAGTCTAGACAATTAAAAGTTTGTTTTTTTTTAACTCTGGATATTTTCTTTTAATCATGTAGAACTTTCTGATTATGCAAGCAATATTTGCCACTAGGCATTAAGCAAACATTCTAGGGGGAATACTTCTCTTAAAGGAGTCAACTGACCATTTTGGCCTTTAGACCTCCCTGTAGATAGTTTTTTGCTGATCATTTTTGCATTTCAAAGTTTTTTCTCTATCTATTTTAGCCAAAAACACAAAAAAAAATTAGTATAAAGTTGTCATTTAAGAGGCAATAACTCCAAGAGTTGACAGATCAAGTCTGCCATGTTGACTTAAACATAGACCTTTTCTTGTTGATAATTTTTGATATTTCAAGTTTTTCTCTATCTTTTATAGTGTTCAAGATGATAGCCAAAAATGCAAAGATTGATAAAAAGAAATCATCATTTAAGGGCATTTACTACACAAAGGAGTTGTCTGACAGTATTGGTCAAGATGGTTTTAAAGATACAAGATGATTATTTGCATTTTACCCCTATGTTCTAATTAGCCATGGCAACCATTTTGATTGGATGGTGTAAACAATTTTTGAACTAGATCTTCTATGGATGATTGTTGGTAATTCTTGTTGCAATTGGCGAAGTAGATTTCAAAGGTAAGATTATTAGCAAAAGTTAACAGACGAAACTAACAACAGATGCCAAGTAATGGAAATAGGTTTAACTATAAAGAAACTCTAAATAAAGTTTACTAAGCATTTAAAATTCTACATGAGAAATGTCAAATCTAAGAAATAATAAGTATAGTCAATGGACACATGGATGATTATGAACACCATGTCTTCAACACTTTGTATTTCTAGTTCATAAGTAGCTCTCACAAAAAATTCCTTGACAAGGTGATAAGCTGTCCTGTAATAAATTGATAAATCACTATTCTAGTTGGATAATTAGGCCTAAATGTTATATTTTTAATGAATAATAGCTGACTAATTCTTTTACCTCATCAATGCCAGACATTTCTTCTTGCTTTAATATTTCTGAAGAATATAAATTATTAACCTATTAAGAATTTTTGCTTCATGGTATTTGAATTCATATGAGTCAGTCATGACACAACTTTGGAATTAAATGACCAAAATAAATATGTCATTATGTCATTTGTCCCAAGCATGTAGAACTAGACAGTTAACAATTTAAATACCTTTTTTTGTAATAACAAGAGTGCACACGCTGAAATGTCTCGCCTTCTTTACTAATCATTGATATTATGTTGATAGTCCTAAATATAAAGCTTTATTACAACTGTCACATAAACTTAACATTAACCAAGTAAACTAAACATTGACCAATGAACCATGAAAATGAGGTCAAGGTCAGATGAACCATGCTAGGCAGGCATGTACAGCTAACAATTCTTCCATACAACAAATATAGTTGACCTATTGCTTATAGTTTAAGAAAAACAGACGAAAACACAAAAACTTAACACTGAGCAATGAACCTTGAAAATGAGGTCAAGGTCAAATAAAACCTGCGTGACTGACATATAGATCATAAAATATTTCCATACACCAAATATAGTTGAACTATTGCATATAGTATTAGAAAAAAAGACCAAAACTCAAAAACTTAACTTTGACCACTGAACCATGAAAATGAGGTCAAGGTAAGATGACACCTGCCAGCTAGACATGTACACCTTACAATCATTCCATACACCAAATATAGCTGACCTATTGCATGCAGTATTAGAAAAAAAGACCAAAACTCAAAAACTTAACTTTGACCACTGAACCATGAAAATGAGGTCAAGGTCAGATGACACCTGCCAGCTAGACATGTACACCTTACAATCATTCCATACACCAAATATAGTAGACCTATTGCATACAGTATAAGAAAAACAGACCAAAACACAAAAACTTAACTATAACCACTGAACCATGAAAATGAGGTCAAGGTCAGATGACACCTGCCAGTTGGACATGTACACCTTACAGTCCTTCCATACACCGAATATACTAGACCTATTGCTTATAGTATCTGAGATATGGACTTGACCACGAAAACTTAACCTTGTTCACTGATCCATGAAATGAGGTCGAGGTCAAGTGAAAACTGTCTGACGGGCATGAGGACCTTGCAAGGTACGCACATACCAAATATAGTTATCCTATTACTTATAATAAGAGAGAATTTAACATTACAAAAAATCTGAACTTTTTTTTCAAGTAGTCACTGAACCATGAAAATGAGGTCAAGGACATTGGACATGTGACTGACGGAAACTTCGTAACATGAGGCATCCATATACAAAGTATGAAGCATCCAGGTCTTCCATCTTCTAAAATATAAAGCTTTTAAGAAGTTAGCCGCCGCCGCCGCCGCCGCCGGATCGCTATCACTATGTCGAGCTTTCTGCGACAAAAGTCGCAGGCTCGACAAAAACTGGCATGTTTTAAGTATCCTGGGATACACTTGTTCCTCCTACAAAACTATTATTTGCTGCAGTGTTCATAGGATTTGTCACTTTTTCCAGGCTGTTGTTACCTGAGTGCTTGGTTTACCTGTGTTTTAAAAAACTGGCAGACATTGAGGAAGGAAAAGATAATCTAGCCCATGATTTTGAAGTTAACTATATTACTCTCATAGTCTCAGAAATTAACAAGCAAACTGTAATTCATCAATAATTTTCAAGAATTACTGGTATTGTTTTAATTTACTGTAAATTTGGAAAATTTTACAAAAAGGATATTTTTACTTACTAGTATTTCTCATTATGCAAAATGCAAATTTATTTAATATATGATGCGCAGCCCAGGTATCACATAAATCTTACATTACCAATGGTCTATGAAATGAGGTCAAGGTCAGTTAAACCCTGTCAGATCAACATGTACCCCAATACAATCATTCAATACAACAAACAGTTAGTTTTCTTGTTTGAATTGTTTTACATTGTCATTTCGGGGCCTTTTATAGCTGACTGTGCGGTATGGGCTTTGCTCATTGTTGAAGGTCGTACGGTGACCTATAGTTGTTAATTTCTGTGTCATTTGGTCTCTTGTAGAGAGTTGTCTCATTGGCAATCATACTGCATCTTCTTTTTTATATTGACCTTTTGCTTTTAGTATCTAGAAAAAAAGATTTAATATTCTCCAATGAACCATTAAAATGAGGTCAAGGGCAAACACATCCTGCTAGACAGACATCATATGGTGACCTATAGATGCTTACATCTACTTAATTCATTTGAACTCTTGTGGATAGTTGTCTCATTGGCAATCATACAACATCTCTTTATTTTTATATTATATACACCAAATACAGTGCTTAATGCTTATAGTATCTAAGAAACAGACCTAAAACACAAAAGCTAAATGTCAATTTCTTAAATTATTGCCCATAATAACTGAACAAAAATTGTGCGACAAAAAAACTATTGTATCATAGTCGCTGAACCATGAAAATGAGGTAAATTACAAACATGCCACACAGATATATTTAACATAAGACATCTGCTGACAAGATATTTAATATCAAGCCCATCAACTCTCTGAAATATAAATTGTTCAATGAAAAGTTTAAGCCATTGCTGTGGGACTGTCCTTCCTATGTCTGGCATTCTTCCACATTTATGACAGGTGAGACAAAAATCCATGTTATACATGAACATTCACTTGACAAAAAATTGTACATAAGGCTAAAGTATGTGACGTATATTACTGCTATGGAATGCTGATATTGGAAATACATTCATTTTAAGTCTTGTTCACTTATCATATTTCGTTGGAATCATAAGCGCTAGGAAGACTGATTTTCATTGCTGAATACAATCCAATAAAAAGAACATAAAACAAACAGACATGCATCTTTTAACATTTGTGAGTAAAAAAATTCTATTTTAAGATATAAATTTCTAGTTTTCATATGTCGACAGTGCAAAAAGTTTTAAATCTTTTAAATTTGTGTTTTGAATATTTTCTTTTTCTGTCAGTACAATAAACGTAAGTTTACTGACCTTATAATTCAAACAAATTTTTCTACACTAGGACTGTGTAAATACCATGTGTGGAAGGCTAGTTAAAATCAGGATAATTTACAGATCAGTGTTCTGTAAAACAATTCTTTGGATCTTTACCCGACTGTCTTTTAGAGGGGTCTCTAGGGCACACCATGCCAGATGTGAATGTCATTGAAATGGATTATAAGAGTTTAATACACAAAGTAAAAACACATATATGTAAGGTGATGGCAAATACTTAGATCACCATGGAATATTCAATTATATTTTGGGTAAGGTCCGTTGGAACTAAATCATGATATTGATTATGTATTTCACATACATGTAGGATGAATATGACAAAATATGTTTATATTAAAACTAAAGGAATAGTTATTAAAATCCAAATGAATTATTTTCATTTAATCAGAAACTAGGGAAACTAATAACCAAATGTGTAAAAATAAATAAATGTGGATAGTGTCCACATGTGGACACAGATGATGCCCCCGCTTGCATATCATATAGTTATAAAGGGACATAACTGAAGAACGGTAAAAGTGACGCTACCCAAATTTGAACTTGATCTGAGTTTTGTGGTAATAAGCATTGTGTGAAAGTCTCATAACATTTGGTTGAGGCTAACTTAAGTAGAGAACAGAAACTAAAAATTCAGCAATTTTTCTATTTGTAAACACACATAACTTCAGAATGGTTGTGTATAAGTTTTATAACATTTGGTTGAGACAAACAAAAGTTAGAGAACGGAAACGAAAATTCAGCAATTTTTATGTTTATAAAGGGACATAACTCAAGAATAGTAAAAGTGTCGCCACCAAATTTTGTACTTAATCTGTATTATGTAGTAATAAGCATTGTGTATAAGTTTCATAACATTTGGTTGAGGCAAACTAAAGTTAGAAAACGGAAACAAAAAATTTGTACTTGATCTTAGTTTTGTGGTAATGAATATTGTGTATAGGTTTCATAATGTTTGGTTGGGGCAAACTTAAGTTACAGAATGGAAACTAAAAATTTTGCAATCTTTCGATTTGTAAAGGGGCATAACTCAATAATGGTTAAAGTGACACTACCCAAATTCAACTTGATCTGTATTTTATCAGTGGAAGTCAAAATTAAACATTGCATTGTATAGAGCATTGATTGTAGTTTATACAACTATAATCATGGACAAAGGAAGATAACTCCAATTTTAAAAATTACTTGATATTTAGGAGAAAATAAAAATTTTGCAATTTTTCCATTTATAAAGTGGCATAACTCTAGAACAGTTAAAGTGACACCACCAAAATTCAAACTTGATCTGTGTTTTGTGGTAATAAGCATTGTGTATAAGTTTCATAACATTTGGTTGAGGCAAACTTAAGTTAGAGAACGAAAACTAAAAATTTTGCAATTTTTCCATTTATAAAGGGGCATAACTCCAGAACAGTTAAAGAGACGCCAGCATTGTGTATAAGTTTCATAACATTTGGTTGAGGCAAACTTAAGTAAGAGAACGGAAACTAAAAACTTTGCAATTTTTCCATTTATAAAGGAGCATAAATTAGAAAGGTTAAAGTGACGCCACTAAAATTCAAACTTGATCTGTGTTTTGTGGTAATAAGCATTGTGTATACGTTTCATAACATTTGGTTGAGGCAAACTCAAGTTAGAGAATGGAAACCAATTTTGGGACGTACGGATGGACGGACAAGGGTAAAACTTAATGCCCCCACCGCTATGGCGGGGGCATAAAATATATAAACTTTTATCATTTGTTGAATAAAAAATAAATGGGGAATGTGTCCATGGGACACAGATGATGCCCCGTTTGCATATAACTTTATAAAGAGACATAACTCAAGAAAGTAAAAGTGACACCACCCAAATTTGAACTTGATCTGAGTTTTATGGTAATAAGCATTGCCTATAAGTTTCATAACACTTGGTTGAGGCAACTTAAAGTTAAAGAATGGAAACTAATTTTGGGACTTAAGTACGTATGGACCGACGTACAGACGTACAAGGGTAACACTTAATGCCCCTCTGCTGTGACATTAAAATTCATTTGCTAATTTATCCAGCAGAATAGAATGTTAATAATATTGAATTGATGTTTATTTATACAAAAGGAACATAATATCAATATTTCATTATTTTGTGAATTTTCTCTTTAAAAATGATTTAAAGGCAATAACTTGAACAATTCAACTGATGGTTTCAGTAATATTGGCATTTTTATAGATTTTGTAATGCTTATAATTTTTTGGCAATTTACAGTATCTGTTTTTCTGTTCTTGTTTTGAGGATAAAAGGCAAAAATTTCAAAAATTGTCAAAAACAGTTAGGTCAATTTATCCTATTATTAAAGTCATTTGACAATATTAGTGGAATAAGATGTAGTCAATCTTGACATCCTGAGCAGTTTTGCAGAATTTCTCTTTCTTTTACAATTTTGATGATATTTACTTGCATTTACTCTTTTGTTCTATTTAAGCCATGGGGGCCATTTTCATAGATTGACCAAAATATAATTCACAAACTATAATTTTCACACAATTAAGATCAATCTTGCCAAGTTCTTCTTAACTGGACCAGACTCTTTTTTACAGGACATTAACACATATGATTTGGACAAAATTAAAATTTTACTGGTCATTTGGTCCAGTAATGCATATCACTTAACTGGACCGAACCAATTTTTACTGGACTTTGCCCAATGTCCGGCGACCTTGGTATAGTCTTTTAAAACTTTAATTCGGCTTATATGCCCTCTAGACAAAGGTTATAATTTTTCTGTGTTGTTCAACTATTGTAACATATAATTTTGGAATGAACATCAATTTGCCAATTTAAAATCGTTTAACACAAAACTAAAATATTACTTTTCTTTCTCTGTATCGAAATTCTAAACAATTTTTTGTAATTTTAAATGTTTTAGTATTTAGTGAATTTGGTATTGATGGAAGATCTTTGTTAGTTTCTGCTTCAAAACTGTTCTATGTTTCTATACATATTTTATTCATAACTTGACAAATTGTATAGACACTTATCTATTGTTGAAGAACGTGTGTTGATTTCTAGATGCATTTTAATTTTATGCATTGTTGAGTTGCTCTATCATTGATGATTACCCCAAATCTGCTTTAATTCTGGAGTTTTCATTTACTTTATTTACTGTCACATAATATGATAAATTGGCGTTTGATTTACACGGCATCAGCAAAAAAGGCTACATCTCATGGTGACAGTCACAAAATAATAACAGGTAATGATTTTTACCAGAATGGGTTTTCTTTTCGCTAATTGATACTGCACCCCTCATTCCATTTTTATTATTTCTAGTTATCTGAACCACAGGTTTAATATCAGACTTTGTATTAATTGTAGGTCCTCCTTCAAATTCCTGTCTGTACTGTTTATCAGCATTTGAAATATTGTTTTCTCTAAAATATATATTAAAAAAACACAACGTTACAAAATTTGTTTGTACTTGTGATTACTGATGGGGTAAAGATTGTTTTCATTTTCATGGTGAATGTAAAATTAATCATTGCATTGTATTATATATTTAGGCAATATTAAAATTCAGTCATAATGCTAAATATTGACCATAAGGCATTTAGTCAAATGATATAAAACACAAAAATGCAAAATCATGTTTAAGAGCTTTTTTCGCAATCAAGATCATGTCATCGGGACAAGGGGTCATAATCCTGTAGATCACACTCTAAATCCTGAAAAAATGGTGGAATCAAAATGGCAGTACAATATGGTCAACTACCCATGATGGCTAAAAATCCTACCAAGTATTAGAGCTTTTTGTAAAATCAACTCAGTTTTGTTTACAATGTGTCACTCCTGTACAAATTGTCAAATAAAACTGACGATACAGCACAGTCAAGAGAATATGATGACAAATGATCCTACCAAGTATGAAAGCTTTATGTCAGTCTTTTAATATAGATTTGTTTTGGAGGGACTAACAGAAGGACCAATACCATATTCAAGTAGACATTCTGGTTGGTGGGTGAAACTCAATGACTAAATTCAATTACCTGCTTCGCTGAGCGCAGCTGGATACGCCCGCAGAGGTCCAACCCCGAACAGTTGGAGCAAAAATGGACACAATATTCAAGCTTGATACAGGTCTGAATTTGGATTGTAATTAAATATTTGACATATTAAAGGTTTTTGAATAAATGTAGTCAAAGAACTTGAAATTGGTTATATGAATTGAATTTATATTCAATAAAAGATTTCTTGCTGTTGTGCAATACACTGTGCTGTTGCGCAATACTTAGTAAATCTGTTGTCAGACTATAAACAAACAATAACTTCTCAATGTTATATCAGAAATTTATAAACAAGAGTGCACACGCTGAAATGTCTCGCCTTCTTTACTAACCATTGATATTATGTTGATAGTCCTAAATGAAAGCTTTACTACAACTATTACATAAACATAACATGATCCAAGAAAATGAAGTCAAGGTCATATAAACCAAACGAGAAATACATGTACACCTTACAATCATTCAATACACTAAATATAGTTGACCTATTGCTTATAGTTTCTAAGAAACAGACTTAACCAAGAAAACTAAACATTGACCAATGAATAGTGAAAATGAGGTCAAGGTCAGATGAACCATGCCAGGCAGACATGAACAGCTTACAATCCTTCCATACACCAAATATAGCTGACCTATTGCTTATAGTTTAAGAAAAACAGACTGAAACACATAAACTTAACACTGAGCAATGAACTGTGAAAATGAGGTCAAGGTCAAATAAAACCTGCGAAACTGACATGTACATCATAGAATATTTCCATACACCAAATATAGAAGACTTATTGCATATAGTATAAGAAAAAAGACAAAAACTCAAAAACATAACTTTGACCACTGAACCATGAAAATGAGGTCAAAGTCAGATGACACCTGCCAGTTGGACATGTACACCTTACAATCATTCCATACACCAAATAAAGTAGACCTATTGCATAAAGTATAAGAAAAAACGGACCAAAACACAAAAACTTAACTATAACCACTGAACCATGAAAATGAGGTCAAGGTCAGATGACACCTGCCAGCTAGACATGTACACCTTACAATCATTCCATACACCAAATATAGTAGACCTTTTGCATACAGTATAAGAAAAACAGACCAAAACACAAAAACTTAACTATAACCACTGAACCATGAAAATGAGGTCAAGGTCAGATGACACCTGCCAGCTAGACATGTACACCTTACAATCATTCCATACACCAAATATAGTAGACCTATTGCATACAGTATAAGAAAAACAGACCAAAACACAAAAACTTAACTATAACCACTGAACCATGAAAATGAGGTCAAGGTCAGATGACACCTGCCAGTTGGACATGTACACCTTACAGTCCTTCCTTACACCGAATATACTAGACCTATTGCTTATAGTATCTGAGATATGGACTTGACCACCAAAACTTAACCTTGTTCACTGATCCATGAAATGAGGTCGAGGTCAAGTGAAAACTGTCTGACAGGCATGAGGACCTTGCAAGGTACGCACATACCAAATATAGTTATCCTATTACTTGTAATAAGAGAGAATTTAACAATACAAAAAATCTTAACTTTTTTTTCAGGTAGTCACTGAACCATGAAAATGAGGTCAAGGACATTGGACATGTGACTGACGGAAACTTCGTAACATGAAGAATCCATATACAAAGTATGAGGCATCCAGGTCTTCCACCTTCTAAAATATAAAGCTTTTAAGAAGTTAGCTAACGCCGCCACCGCCGCCGCCGGATCACTATCCCTATGTCGAGCTTTCTGCGACAAAGGTCGCAGGCTTGACAAAAACTAAAGGGAGGTTATCTTAATAGATATAAATCAGTCATCAAAGTTTAATGAAAACTGCTCTAAGCACTTTAAGGATATTGTCCAAAAACTTGAAAATCAACCCTTTTTTATGAATAAAATCTTATAACTCGGAAACGTAAAATCTTAAATTTATAAAAATCAAAAAGGAGCTTACAACAATAGATATAAACAATTTACCAAAGTTTCATAAAAAATGCTGAAAGCATTTTTGAGTTATTGTCTGAAAACTGGAAAATCCCCCTTTTTGTAATGAATAAAACCCCATAGATCAGAAACGTACAGTCTTAAATTAAAAAAAATCAAAAGGGAGCTCATGTTGATAGAAATAAACAATTCACCAAAGTTTCTTGCAAATTGGTGAAATTGTTTTTGAGTTATTGTCCAAAAACTGGAAAATCACCCCTATTTTAATGAATAAAACCCCATAACTTGTAAAATCTAAAATTTATAAAATTCTAAAGGGAGCTTACATCAATACTGAATAGATATAAACAATTCACCAAAGTTTCATAAAAAATGCTGAAAGCATTTTTGAGTTATTGTCCAAAAACTGGAAAATCCCCCTTTTTGTAATGAATAAAACCTCATAAATCGGAATCGTATGGTCTAAAATTTATAAAAATAAAAAGGGAGCTCATGTCGATAGAAATAAACAATTCACCAAAGTTTCTTACAAATTGGTGAAATTGTTTTTGAGTTATTGTCCACAAACTTGAAATTCCCCCCTTTTTTAAAGAATAAAACCCGGAAACTCGGAAACAGTAAATCCGAAATTTATAAAAAACTAAAGGGAGCTCATGTCAATAGATATAAACAATTCACCAAAGTTTCATGCATATTCGTTAAAGCGTTTTTGAGTTAATGTCCAACATGTTGATGACCGACGGACAGACGGTCAACGGTATACCATAATACGTCCCGTAAACGGACGTATAAAACGGAAACATCTTAGCACCTTCCCCCTGTTTGGATCAAAAGGGCTGCAACTTGTACAGAAAAATCATACAGGGTACCAGGATTTTCAATAAGTTTGAAGTGAACAGGCTGTTTACCAATTTGAAGCAGCTGATAGAAGATATGGGGGGGTTACAGGGGGCTTGCAGGTACAATTCCAATCAGCACCTATATGAAAATTCATATCGGCACCTGGTCAAATCGGCATCTAGTCAAATCGGCACCTAATATTATTTTTACCTTTTTTCTTTCCTTTTTATTTGAGGTATGGGGAAAATAATTTTTGGTCTTTTTTTTTATAAAAATTACTTTTGGCAAAACTTACAACTTCAGAAATTGATTAAATTTAAGATACATTTCGTACATCATTTAAAATTCAGCACTTGTAATAAAGCAGTTAGAGTACATATCAAAAATAATGAGTTGGTTTGTTGTTGGAAGTTTTCACATAATATTCTATTAATGTTTTGATTGGTTATCATTTAAAAAATTCGTAAGGGTTCGACAGAACCCAGTGTCTCGCCTACTTTTGCTGTTAGTCGCAGGCTCAACAAAAATTGGGAAAAAATTATTAAAAATTTTCCTCTAGATACTAAATTTTGATTGTAAGAAGCTTCTATCCAAGTTTGGTAAAAAATCAGGATGGTTTATGAATCTAATAAATGTTTTAAAATCTTTAACTGCAGACTGTATGTAATTTTAACTGGAAGAAAAACTAAGTCCATTTATAAGTAATATACAGAAAAACAGGAAATAAATTTTTACAAAATTTCCTACTAGATACTAGCTTTTGATCATAGACAAGCTTCTGTCCAAGTTTGGTAGAAATCCAGGACAGTTTAAGAAAGTTATTTAACCACAGAGTGAATATTTGTGGACGCCGCCGCCGCCGCCGCCGCAGGATCGCTATGTCTTGCTTTTGCGACAAAAGTCGCAGGCTCGACAAAAACTTATGAACTTATAATAACCCATTTGTTGTTTTAACCATCTTCAGGTAGTTTCTGATTTTTTATAATGAAAATAAATGGAGAATGTGTCTATGGGCCACAGATGCCACCGCTTGTAAATATGCATGAGTCAACTTCCACATACAGATACAGGATTCATGTAGTTAAGACCATTTTGTGATTATAAGCATTGTGTATAAGTTTCATAACATTTAGTTGAGGCAAACTAAAGTTAGAGAACTGAAACCAATTTTGGGGACGTACGGGACGGACAAGAGTAACGCTTAATGCTACGGCGGGGACATAAAAAACAATTAAATTTCACAAAGAAGCCATTACACAAGCTGTTGTTTAATCCACAGATAAGGATAAAAACAAATGTAATCATTGTAATTAAAATTGTTTTTTCTGCATTTCCTGTCTACTTGTATAATGACTGGCACCATGTTTACTAGCAATGTGCAGTTGTTATTAAATAGAAGTTCCTTATGACATTGTTTATAACAAAGTTTCCATTGGAACTTCTGTTATGCGTGACAATCATCGTTGACACATTGAGTGAAAATATTTAAAAAAGAAAATGGAAAAAACAGTCTTCAATAGTTGACTTGCAAAACATAATGTTAATGGGTGCCAAAATAACTAACTCAGGTGCCGTATTAACCAGGTCCCAATTTGACTAGGTGCCAAATGGACAAACTGGATACAGACTTGACTAGGTGCCGATTTGAACATGTGTTGAAGTGACTAGAAGTCCGGCTTGCCCTCCAAAATTTTTTTTTCATTGAAAATGGTGCACTCTGAGGCATTTTCAGACTGTTGACAAGTACATAAAAAATGAAGTTTCATAGGAATAATATCTTTTATTTAGCTTTTTTTTTAGTAAGGTTAATCTTATTAGTAAATTGTGATATTGCTAATCGAATAAAAATATTTTGTGTGATTTTTTTTTTATATTGAAATTTTAAGAGTAGGTTAGACTACAAAACTATAACAGAAACTGGAAAACAGGATAAACAATACATGAACATCAACCTTTTGTTACACTGACATATTGTATGACTTGTTGAGGTCAAAATAAACTAGAGGCTCTCAAGAGCCTGTGTCGCTCACCTGTATTTACTGATGCTTTGGAAATCATGTAAAATAAGGTTAAAATCATAATTAATAGTATTAGATATTAGATATTATAATGATATCCAAGATAATAACAAAAAACTGCAAAATTTTTGTAAAATTACTAACTCAGGGGCAGCAACCCAACAACGGGTTGTCAGATTCGTCTGAAAATTTCAGGGCAGATAAATCTAAATCTGATGAACATTTTTGCTACCTTTCAGATTTGCTCTAAATGCTTTAGTTTCAGAGATATAAACCAAAAACTGCATTTTACCCCTATGTTCTATTTTTAACCAAGTCGGTCATGATGGTTGGAAGGCGGGGTCATCGGACAAATTTTTTAAACTAGATACCCTAATAATGATTATGGCCAAGTATGGTTAAATTTGTCTCAGTAGTTTCAAAGAAGAAGATTTTTGTAAAAGATTACAAAAATTTACAAAAAATTGTTAAAAATTGACTATTAAGGGCAATAACTCCTAAAGGGGACGACTGACAATTTTGGTCATGACAACTTATTTGTAGATCTTACTTTGCTGAACATTATTGCTGTTTACAGTTTATCTCTATCTATAATAATATTCAAGATGATAACCAAAATCTGCAAAATTTCCTTAAAATAACCGATTCAGGGGCAGCAACCCAACAACGGGTTGTCAGATTTGTCTGAAAATTTCAGGGAAGATAGATCTTGACCTGATAATCATTTTTACCCTATTTCAGATTTCCTCTAAATGCTTTGGTTTCAGAGATATAAGCCAAAATCTACATTTTACCCCTATGTTCTATTTTTAGGCATGGCAGCCATCTTGGTTGGTTGGTGGGGTCATCGGACACATTTTTTAAACTAGATACCCTAATGATGATTGTGGCCAAGTATGGTTAAATTTGTCTCAGTAGTTTCAAAGAAGAAGATTTTTGTAAAAGATTACAAAAATTTACAAAAAATTGTTAAAAATTGACTATTAAGGGCAATAACTCCTAAAGGGGACGACTGACAATTTTGGTCATGACAACTTATTTGTAGATCTTACTTTGCTGAACATTATTGCTGTTTACAGTTTATCTCTATCTATAATAATATTCAAGATGATAACCAAAATCTGCAAAATTTCCTTAAAATAACCGATTCAGGGGCAGCAACCCAACAACAGGTTGTCAGATTTGTCTGAAAATTTCAGGGAAGATAGATCTTGACCTGATAATCATTTTTACCCTATTTCAGATTTACTCTAAATGCTTTGGTTTCAGAGATATAAGCCAAAATCTACATTTTACCCCTATGTTCTATTTTTAGGCATGGCAGCCATCTTGGTTGGTTGGTGGGGTCATCGGACACATTTTTTAAACTAGATACCCTAATGATGATTGTGGCCAAGTATGGTTAAATTTGGCCCAGTGGTTTCAGAGGAGAAGATTTTTGTAAAAAGCTAACGACGACGACGACGGACGATGGACGACGGACGCCAAGTGATGAGAAAAGCTCACTTGGCCCTTTGGGCCAGGTGAGCTAAAAATTATATATTCTTGACAACCATATCAGCGTTGAATGGATCCGAAAATTATTATGATCATTATTAAAGATTTGGCAGTCACAACAACTATTGATATTCATGTGTCAATTGCATCATGTGCATATGTTTTCACCTGCTTCTTTTTTTCTTTTTGGGGGTGTAAAGAAATCAAGCAATGTCGATTTTCTTTTTGCTTGTTTACTTGTCATCTTGGATCAAAGGTACCACGATTTCCAGAGAACTCCCAAGAACTGATGATTGACCCGAGAACCGATAGACTTGACCCTAGACCTTGATTTAATATAGTGTTATACTGCTTTTACAGATATTAAAGTATATAATTTTATGATAATAGTCGTTTTTACTCATTAAAAGTACAATTTAACTTCAGGAAATCTATTTCAATGTCTTGCATGAAAATTCCTTCTTGAAAACATGATGGACAACATTATTCAAATGGTAGACAACTCTTTATAAATAAAAATGAGGAATGTGTCCATGGGACACAGACGATGCCCCCGCTAGCATATCATATAAAGTTATAAAGGGACATAACTTAAGAACGGTAAAAGTGACACTACCCAAATTTGTGCTTGATCTGAGTTTTGTGGTAATAAGTATTATGTTTAAGTTTCATAAAATTTGGTTGAGGCAAACTTAAGCTAGAGAACGGAAATGATAAATTCAGCAATTTTTCCATTTGTTAAGGGGCATAACTCTAGAACAATAAAAGTGACACCCCAAAAATTCAAATTTAATCTGTATTTTGTGGTAATAAGCATTGTGTATAAGTTTCATAACATTTGGTTGAGGCTAACTAAAGTTAGGGAATGGAAACGAAAAATTCAGCAATTTTTCATTTGGAAAGGGGCATAACTCTAGAACGGTTAAAGTGAAGCTACCAAAATTCAAACTTGATCTGTGTTTTGTGGTAATAAGCATTGTGTATAAGTTACATAACATTAAGTTGAGGCAAATTAAAGTTAGAGAACAGAAACCAATTTTGTGACGTACATACGTAGGTACAGACGGACAAGGGTAAAACTTAATGCCACCCTAAGTTCATTTATCACTTAAGGACAATTAAGGACATGACATAAATTATATTGGGAACATTAGATCAAAATTTTTATCAGGAATGTAAGTTGAGGTAAGTATGGTTAAAAATTTGAATAGTTCTTTAAGAAGAGGTTTTAGGCAACAGGCAAAAAGATAGATAGATTAATCAGGATACTAGGCTTAGGACAATCTGAAAGAATGTTTGTACACTCATGAACATATAAACTTACAAAGTCAACTTTAGGATGTTTTTAGGTGTGTTAGATTCCATTAAAGTATCAACTTCCCCTCCTAAAACTGATATATTTTCTTCTTTCAACATTAATAGCCCATGTCGACATAGTATTTTTCCTGTTACTAGAATCTGAAAATATACATACAGATTATAATAAATATTTTTCTTTAAAATAAGACAATCGCATCGATATCAGAGCCAGGCTGATTAGCCATTATATTAGGGTTTGGATAATAATGGGACTGATATTAAACATGCTGTGTCACTTTTACAATTGCAATATGTTTTTTATAAAACATTTGATTTATAATTATTAAAACCTTATATTAAATTATATATGTGGATACGGCCACTTTGATAGGCTAAGTCTATTGCCCAATCCCATTCAATTTATTTGAATAAAATTTGTTTAAACTAAATTATTTTACTGAATATATATTCATGTCTAAAAGTGGACTACATCAACAAAATTAAACTAGAGGTGTAAAAAGAGCCTGTGTCGCTCACCTAGTTATATGTGCATCTTCATCAATGGACACTCTCAAACATTTTAGACTAAACTAACTTAAGCAGAAAACTTAACAATTGTTGACGCCAACTACGACGTCGTCATCGTCGTTGCTGGAAAAGCAATGCCTATGTCTAACCTTCCGTGACTTTCATCGCAGGAGAGACAAAAATTGCATATTTTCACTCATAGTCATAATTGTAAGTCGGAAACATTGAGCTAGTATTACAAAAATATTTACATTAAAATGTGATGTTCATATAATTGTTTTTTTTATGAAAACACATAGAAGGGCCTTTTTTATGAGTTCACATCTGCATTCATTGTGATGTCATTGGTAAAAAAACATCTCATATTTAGTTTTGAAATACCTCAACTTTAAAACAGACAAAAATTGAACAGAAAATAAAAAGCTCAAAATTCAGTAAAAATTTAAGCTAAATAAGCCCCTGATCAAACCCTGTCCTTTGTCAAATGTCAGATCACCTTCTTCAAGCTATTGTGAAATGGGTTTATTTGCCAGATAAATGATTCAGGAGCCTCTAGTTATTTCATTGGGTTTCTCTTTCATTAACATATATACAACTCATCTCTTTTAATCACATTCTATTTTGGTTTCAATGCCAAGCCTCCAAAGTCAAGGTCACAGATATATAAAATAGATTGAAGGAGAAGGTTTACTTAGGGCTGAAATTGCCCCTAAATCTTTTGTTTTTTTCAATCATGCCAAGATACTACAAATTTCATATAGAATAAAAGAACAGTGTTCCAATGTCCACCGCATTGCACATATTTTATATATCAAGGGCAATATTAAACTAAAAAAAATCTTTTCAAACTTTTTATATATATCTTAGAGAAATGAAGGCTTAAGATATATAATTTTGGAAGTATTGTCTGAAGTGTTGACGACAGACAGAAAGGACAATGGTATATCATAATATGTCCCGTAAACTGGCGTATAAAAACCTCATAATGTGTAAGCATAAAGAAATACTCAGTAAACAGAAAGTTGATGAGAGATGGCTGTGAAAATGCATCACATAGCATACTTAATTGCTTATTTGAAGCTTGAAACTTAATTTCAAGAAGATCTTATGTGTTGTTCCTGACAAATATTCAACTCAAATTTCATGAGACAGGAGGATGGACAGACAGAGGTAAACCAGTATACCCCTCCTTTGAGTATACAAACTTATCCTATCAAATCGTCCATGCAAAATCTGTTTGAGTCTGTTTCATTTATTGTTTTACAAATTGTGATCTACAGAAATCAAAGTCAGTTGATGCTGGTATATTTCTGTATGTTAATGTTTTTGAAGAGTGAATACAGAAGAAGGGATTCTTTTCAAGTATTCACAAACAGAAAAAGTAAGAACAATTATCACTCAGTTTAGTTCACAAACCTTACAACCAGGGTGCAGTTTATAATCCAGACATGGTATAGGTTCATACTCCATTCCTTGTACATCAAAGGTACCATCTGTCAACTTTAACATTAACATTCTCTTAGCTTTTGGTTCCCACTGTGATAAAAAGCCAATACACATACAATAATGGTATTATCACCTTAATTTGTATACAATTTCAAACCCTTCTTAAAAAATCAAATGCACAATGGCAATATACATTGAAACTGAAAACAAGAGGCTCCTTAGAGCCTGAATCGCTCACCTGGTAAGATATGCCATTTTGATTTTAATTTTTACCTTTATTGCAATCAGTTATGTTATTAATGTAGGTTCATTAGTCTTGTATTGCTTATTATTTTTGCAGGACACAGTTTGTACCTATGTATTATAGTCTCTAAGAAAATTCAAAAACACAAAAATAAGCATCATTTATGGGCAATAACTCCCTTAGGAAAATCCAATGGTTTCATACATATTGGCATTTTTGTAGCTCTTGTAAAGATGATCATTTCTGCTTTTTACAGTCTCTATCTATTACAGTTTTCCAGATAATTTTCATTATAAAAACTAGTCAAACTAGATGTGTCAGAACCATATGAATGGCTACGCTCCCAAAAAAAGGCTTGAAGCCATTTCTAGGAGTGGAAATTTGAAAATTAAAGTCTGTATAACTGTTATTTTCACAAAATTTTCAAAGTCCAAAGTCCATAATTTGGACACATATCAGTGGAGCAGAGCCAGATGTAAACTCAATCTGTAACTCATCACAGTAGACAACTTTTTTGCGGAGCCATAAAAATTGTAGTTAGGGCAACATCTATATAGACTCATGCAATGGTTTTGGGGGCCTTCGTGGCCTAAATAGTCAAACTACTGTATCACTAGACTGTCAACACTGAGGTTGAGAGTTTGAATCCTGTACGTGGCAGGTGCGCTCGACTCCAATCTTTATTGACTAGGATTGTCAATTTTCTTACTGAAGGTTGCTGGTTCTCTCCAGGCACTCTGGCTCCCTCCACCAATAAAAATTGACCGCCATGAAATAGCACAACAGTAATGAAAGTGGCATTAAACACCAATCAATCAATCAATCAATACAATGGTTTTGGTCATACTGCCGTTTATGTATATCCTATATTGCTGATCATATTAGCTGCTTACAGTTTTTATCTATATTCTATAATTCTGGAGATGTGGTAAAGAGACTAACATTAACATAAATAATCATTTACAGGCAATAACTTATTAAGGGGTCATCTAATGATTTCGGTCATTGGCATTTTTTTTGGATCTTGTATTGCTGATTATTTTTCCTTTTTAACAGCTTCTACCTATCTTATATAATTTGTCGAGTTAAAACGCAAAAACAAGAAAATAAGCTAAAAATTGTGATTGAAGGGTAATAACTCCTTAAGGAGTCACGTAATAATTTTGGTGTAAACTGGAAGTAAGTAGATCTTGACACTCTGAGCAGTTTTGCTTCATCAGATTTTTTCTATTTATTATAATTTTCAAGATACAAGACAATTAATGCATTTTACCCTTATGTTCTATTTTAAGTCATGGCTACCATAACAAGACTGAATGGAATAAAAACACAAACTTTAAACTAAATACCCTAAAGATCATTCACCCTAAGTTTGCTTGAAATTGGCTCAATAGTTTCAGAGGAGATTATGAGAAGAAAAAGTTTAGGACGACATTGAACTCTAAGTGATAGGGCAATCAATGGGAGCTAAAAAGTGAATGTTTTAAAGAAATCCATGCATTGGTTTCTAAATAATTTAGAAATGGAAATACATAAGAAGAAAAGAAGAGAAAGGCTGAAGCCTTAATTCTATGTTTTTGCTATGGGTCCAATTATCTTTCCAGCTAAAAAATCAAAAGCAATGTCATAAGGGACTCCTCTTAAAGGGAAAATTCACAATTTTTTACTTATCATCTTATTATGTTCATAATACCATAAAAAACATATTCCCCAAGTTTTATTTGGATATGAACATTAATAAAGAAGAAAATTGGGAATTATTATTTTTATTTATTCGAACTTCCTGACTTCTGTAACGTAGTTTAAGTCTTTTTGCTTGCTGGGAGTGGATTAATCTCATTTTAAGTCTTGTTCGTTAATCATATAATAACGCGATTTAAAGCGCATGGACGACTTTTGACGTAGCTATTAACCAACTAATAATTCAGAAAGAAAAGAGATCAGCCGTTCATCTTTTAAAATTAAAATGTACGATTTATATTTTAAGGATTTTTGATATGATTATAGTAATAAAAGTAAATCATACAATAGAATGTTTTTATGATTTTTTTCCGACGGATATGCCGAACAAACATATATAACTGATAGTGTAATAGAAATGCATGTTTGTATTCTCACCTATTACTTCAGTCGAGGGTGTCTTACTATACAAATCCTTGCTTCAGTCTAGAACTGTGTAAATACAATGCATGTGTATTATACTGACACCTGGTAAAGGCGTGGTTAAATTCACGATAATTAAAAGATTAGCATTATGTAATTTTAATCCTTTGATCTTCACTAGAGTGTTGTTTGGCCTCAAGGGTTCACCGTTGCAGGTATGAAAAACATGGAGAAAAAAACAGAACTATAAAACAGAAGTGCAGGTTTGAGACAGATTTTTTTTATATCATTTTGGGAGGAATATGGTGGTAAAATACCTGAATCGCCGTTATATATCTTTTTGATATTTTACGTTAGCTCAGTTTTTAAATAAATAGGTGAGTTTTTTGTTGTAACATCGAAATTCTGAATTACTTTAAATTTAATATTTTTATAAATAAAAATGGCCCACGAAAACGAGCGTATAAATCAAAACTGTACTATTTTAAATTATCATCGGTAACCTTGAATATTTAAATGTGCAGATAAAATTACCAGTTACATTAATATAGTTTGGTCCATCCAAAGCGATCTACATTGACCTAATCAGGAATGCCCTTATCAAAATATTCTAAATCTCACAATGTAGAAATTCTTTAGCTATTTGACCAACGATGTTCAAAAATGTTTACAAAATCAATCTACTTCAATCTACGTCAACTTTCCTTTTTTAAATGGAGACAGACTGGCAGAATTAATTTTTAATATGCTTTTATCTTGCACCTTTGCAAGACTTATCATTCATACATAAACCCACTCTAAACCAGAGACACAAATACGTCTTTTTTAACTGACAAGATACTCCTAAAGCAGACAAGCAGTATATTCTTTAAATTTCTGTGATTTAATACCAAGAAAGAAAAAAAAATCCCGTAATTAATTTGATACTCAATATTTTTCCTGGAAAATATGCACATCCTCATTCGGTCCGAAAAAAAGATAAGAATTTGGTATACAGAACATGCAGAATAAATGTGAACCTGTATACGTAAGACCTCATGGGACTTCACCTAACCACATTCAGGTAATATACAAGTAACTCTGTAATACCCGGAAATGTCAAGGTTAATCACTACCGATAAAGAATGTAGCAATGCAAAGAAAATTCTGACGATTGTGAAGCATGACCATTCATGACTTTAAAGGCGTCTTAGGTGGGATATTGCCGGAACGATTTAAATTCTTACTAGATTTTTTTCTCAATTCAAATCACTGAACTGGAAAAAAAAAAAGAAAACTACGTCCATGAACAGAATTCTTCTTGTAAATTCATAAATACAATGTTCTTATTTTGTAACTTTCAATAGACTTGACCTCCAACCCCCACTTTTGCGAAGTATCCCTTTAATAAAATCTACTACATACATTCAAAGGTGTAAGATGTGAATAGCCAACAAAAGAATGACTAAACAACCGAGATTCATTGCAGGAAGGGTATGTTCTAAGAATCGACAATTTTTCCATCAGCTTTTGAGCTTGTACCTCATTTTTAATTTGAGCTTACTAATGGTCCTTGAATTTTGAAGCTGAATTCTTATGTATGAATAGTTGAGTACAATGTTACAGTGGTACTCACAAGTTTGTAAACATATTCAGAGTTGAGTACTGTTATACTCACAGGTTTGTGTGTATATTAAGTTTAGTACAGAACTGTTTCTCACAAATTTGTGTATATGTAAATAGTTGAGTACAGAACTGTTTCTCACATGTTGGTGTGTAATGTGTGTATATTAATAGTTGAGTACAGTGTTACTCACAGATTAGTAAGCATATTAAGAGCTGAGTATTGTTACTCACAGGTTTGTGTGTATCAGCTGAAACATCTACATTGGCATTATCTGTCCCTGTAACTCTCTGCAGCTGACTATAACAAGATTGACTAATGTCAACCATAGAATCAATCTACAAAACAAGGTGCTGTATTTCAGTTCTTCACTGAAACATTATCAACTGAAACTAACTTACACATCATTTACTCTAGATTCATTTATTTCTATGAATTGAGAAAAAAAGACAAGTTTGAGCATTGCTAATTCCAAAATTTAATGGATAAAAAGCTCCAAAAAAGTTACCATCTGGAAACAAGATTTTCCGAAATTTTCTACTTTAAGTTACAGTGACCTAGTCTTTTGAACCATAATCTTATAATCAATAAGCTTCTTCCAGTTACATATATAATCTATCTGTATCAGTTTCATTCCAATCAAGCAAAGAACATTCAAGTTAACATCCAGGAAACCATTTTTAATTTTTACATCACGATGAGCGTGAGGGCATTCCGATGTATTACTATCGCCTAAATTTCCATTACGTAACTATCGTTTTGGATTTGTAACCTATCTATAAACATGATAAATACGCAGACATTAAGGAGTGCAAAAGTAACATTCCTTATTGTTTGTTATAAATACATCTCTTCAATGAATACTGATAAAAATATTTTTGTTTAGAACATAAATTAATAATATGAAAATATTTTGTCGTTAGATATATATGTATAAGTAAAAATAAAATGCTTTGCTGGGCGCAGCTTGATACGACCGCAGAGGTCGAACCCTGAACAGTTGGGGCAAGTATGGACACAACATTCAAGCTTGATACAGCTCTGAATTTGGATTGTGATTAAATATTTGACACAGCATAGGTTTCTGACATAGAAAGAATGTGGTCTAAGAACTTTAATTTTTTTAATTTACCTATTATGGTCCAATGTCCAAAATCAAAATACATGGTTAGATTCAGCATATCAAAGAACCCCATATATTCAATTTTTGTTGACATCAAACAAAGTTTAATTTTGGACCCCAACTTGGACAAACTTGAAAACTGGGCCCATAATCAAAAATCTAAACACATGTTTAGATTCAGCATATCAAAGAACCCCAAGAATTCAATTTTTGTTAAAATCAAACTAAGTTTAATTTTGGACCCTTTGGACCTTAATATAGACCAATTTAAAAAATGGGACCCAAAATTAAAAATCTAAATACACGGTTAGATTTGGCATATCAAAGAACCCCAATAATTCAATTTTTGATGAAATCAAACGAAGTTTAATTTTGGACCCTTTTGGCCTCAATATGAACCAATTTGATAGCGGGGTCCACAAATAAAAAATCTAAATACATGGTTAGATTCAGCATATCAAAGAACCCCATATATTCAATTTTTGTTAAAATCAAACAAAGTTTAATTTTGGACCCTTTGGACCTTAATGTAACCAATTTGAAAACTGGACCCAAAATTAAAAATCTAAATACACGGTTAGATTCGGCATAACAAATAAATAAATGTGGTCAAAGATTTAACAAATCTAAAGCGCCATACTGTGCAATTAAAGATTACTTCTTGAAATTTTTCAATATTTGAAATTTGAAAAAAAAAATAATATTTGAAGAATAATTCTTTTTAATTTCTGAAATCTGAAATGAGAAAAAAATTGACCCCCCACAATTTCTTTTTACCCCCCCCCCCCTTTTTTCCCCCCAAAAATTCTTTCCCTCAAGATATGGTCATAATCTCAATCAAATTTCCAATGGAGTTTGCAACCATAATTACCCATTTAAATTTACCATAGTGCTAACTTAATCTATTTTATAATAGAATTTAAAATATAGTGTCAAATCTTTCATATGGATTTTTTTGTAAAAAAAAAAAGATGCAACATTTGCAGATATTTTTACTGGTCTTCCTTTATAAATATGCATTTCTTTAAACATAATTTAAAAGCAGTGTAAGGGAAGTAACCAAAACGTTGTATTTGGATTACCTCCCTTACACTGTTTTAAATTATCTTAATTGTTCATTAACCATTACTTTATACATAATTTAAAAGCAGTGTAAGGGAGATAATTTCAATGATGTATTTGATTTATCTCCCTTACACTGCTTTAAATCATGTTTTGTACTAAAGTATTTGTCCATTAACCAGGACAACCTTGTTTTTCCCCCTTTTTTGCCCCTAATTCCTAAACGGTTTGAGCCATAACCCCCCAAAGCAAAGCCTAACCATCCCTTTGTGGTATGGAAACTTGTAGTATAATTTCAGAGAGATCCATACACCGTTCCACAGTTATTGTCTGGAAACTAGAAAATGCTTATTTTTGGCCCCTAATTCCTTAACTGTTGGTACCATAACCCCCAAAATCAATCCCCACCTTCCTTTTGTGGTATTGAACCTTATTGTAAAATTTCAAAGAGATCCATTCACTTAAACTAAAGTTAGAGTGCGAAAACCAATGTGTCTTCAGACGACGACGACGACGCCAACGTCATACCAATATACGACCGCAAAAATTTCGCAAAATTTTTTTGCGGTCGTATAAAAATCATTGATAATATCTATGCACACGTATCGAAAAATTGTGTTAACCCATGAAGAAGAATATCTCAAGAACGTTTTGCGGCAATCCCCGCAAGGACCGGTAACTCTGCATGGAAGTTTGTTTTTTGGGGAAAATATGAATGCCTACTCATATCCGATCTTTTAGAAAAATAGAATTTTTACAGAAAAGTGTCCACCATGCACTTGCACTGCACTATTATTAGAATACTGTAAATTCAGAAATTATTGCGATGTTTTTATTATTGCGAAAAATGCGACAGGGTTATAATCGCAATAATTTGAACTCGCATTTTGAAATTTTTTATATGAATAAAACAGGATTTTTCTCAATATCGCAAAAATTAAAATCACATTTTAGTCTAAAATGAGAAAATCGCAATAATAAATGCACGCAATAATTTCTGAATTTACAGAATGATGTACAAATGGATGAAAATTATATATACATTTAACTTTTATATTAATATAATATACAGTCGACTCTCATTATCTCGAAGTCAGCTGGACCAGAGAAATATTTCGAGATACCCGTAGTTCGACTCAAACGAAAACCGGAAGTTTGACAGACCAAGGGACACAACTCTTGCTTAGCTTGGTAAAGCTAAAATAAATCCGTATGAATATGTAAAGCGGATCGATATTCTGGTCTCAGATCGATGTAAATTGTATGTTAAAAATAATTAAATTTCATTATTATAATAATACTTTGTTTTCACTTATTTAATAATTTCTTTGAACAGTTACAATTTTTCCCTGTAGCTTTTATCTGAGAGAGTAATTTCCTATTGATCTTAGCGTTATCTAGAAGTCATTTAAAGTAGACAAAATTGTTTATTCTTGGATACAAGAGATTTTAGAAAATTTTGATTTCTTTTTCTTTTCATTTTCTTTTATCTCAATCTTTCTTTTCAAGAGAAATTCAAAAAGATTAAAGATGCCGATTGAGTTGTTTTAGGTGATCGCTAACGGAAGTCTTAATCCCCACTTTATACACATCAAAGCTCATCAGTGTTAATCACGATTAATTAATTGTTTTTAAAACATTTTCGATAATTGTTCATAAACTTTAATAATGTATCACTAATTATATATCATGGTGACAGAGCTCCAGATAAGCTGCGTATTTGCGTGATCACGCAATAAAAAAATTGAAAACCAAATTCATGCAAAGGAAAACCCAATTATATGTCAAAACCATGCGTTCTTAACCCTTCTAGTCGCTATTGTGTGCGTTATTTACCCTTATCTATTACATTGTCGTTGCGTAAATCTATTTTTGTAATATTTATGATTGGAAATGTCCTTTCGTTCTAAAAATAGAGCGTTACATCAAATACACATATTTCGATCTTCTCTGCATTTATCCAATTAGCATAAGTCATGTGATCATAATTATTTTCGTATTGATCGGGATTTATCATTACACATAGCAATGAATTAAAATAAAGGAAATTTTCGGTAAAAATATTGAATAGGAGCATGTTTTCAGCTTCCTTTTGATAGCTGAGGGAAAATTATGATGATAACAAAACTCAGCTAGTGTTATCAGGAAGCGTGCAATGGCGTGTCCAGGGCTAGTATGCGTGTCTGAACGAGAACATTGTTGCTGTTAGTACAACACGGGTCTGGTCTCCAGATGACTAATCAGTGGTGCAAGAACTAAATCAGTCAGAACAGTGAAAGGCCAAATCAATTATGTAGTTGAAAATCATTGGAAACCAAAAGTTGTAATAAGGGACAACTAAAGACCAGATTTATGTAAGTAAAATTAAACAAAAACATTCAAGTATTATTTTAGTTTTAAAAGAGTAATTTTTTTTCTTCATTTTAGTTGATGAGTGAACACACATATTTGTTTTGACGTAAATGTAGCTTGCCACTTTCTTTGTTTTTGGTCTAATTGTTCTTATGCTATAGATAGTTGTCTTATTGGCAAGTGCAGTCACAACATTGTCATTTATTAATTTGATGTTGCAGGATTATTTAAATTGAATGTAGTCTCAGTCATTAAACCCCCCTGGTCATATCCTTAACCTCGTCGTTCTAGTCAAGGTTTTAAGGTGTATCTTAAATCAACTATGGGAACTACTTATAATGTAAAGAAAATGTAGGTCTGGCAAACAGTTGATAGGACTCATAGACTGTCTTACAGGACCCAATGTTCACAAATACTACATAAAAGTCTAAAAACTTAGCCTTACCTACTCCAAATAAACTGACAGGTGATCATAGTATGTGCTCTAGAAAAGTAATTAGTTACTGTCCAACTAGTGACACCAGTTTATGTAAGTTGAGAGAAAATACAAAACGGTTTAAACTAGACACAAATTAAACGAACAATTGCTCATATGGGTATAAACTAAATTAAACAGCTATCACATATATAATGAAAGAAACATATTTAAGATTGATGAACATCTGGGTTTGATGTAATTTCATTATAACATACCTAGATCTTGTTGATGAAAAAACCCAATACATTAAGGAACTTGGTGGTGAAAACTCAATTTGATATTTGCTTGAGGGGTGAATTGGAATTAATAATGCAATTGAAATA